TGCATGGTTGCCGTGACGGCCCCCAGCTCAGCTGTGCTCCTTCCACCTGTGTGCGAGGCTTGGGGTCACTGGTCTTGACTGCTGCTGCACTGGCACCCAACATCCCAGTCCCTCCCGCTCTGCTCTCGAGTCCACCCGGGCTCTCCCACCTGCTGCCACGTGGGAAACGCGGTGCTGGGAGGGGTTCTGGAGGGCTTTCGCTTCTGCCTGGTGAGGTGTGGCTCAGGGAACCAAGACCCACGCCGAGCCTTCTCTGGCTCGAGTTTCCTGCTTGTGCTGAGATTTTTTTTCCCAAATTAATTAGAGTGGAGTGTTCTATGGAGTCCTGCCAGGAGGTTGGACGTCCGTTTTCTTCTTGTGGCCTTGTTGTTCTAGTCTTTATCAGGGTGATCCCCTGGGTGTGGCCGTGGGGTTCCTTTTGACATGTTCGTCATCTGCTCCATGGTGGACCCCAGTGCTGCCCTGCCCTTCTCTCCTCCCTCCCCTGTTGGCTTTTGTCTACTCTCTCTTTCTATTCATTCATTTAAAAAAAGAACTTTTGTTTTAATTATTTAAACAGGACAACAGAATACATTTATTTACTTTGGTCTATCATACCTAAATGGGATATGATTTCTATTTTTCTGGTTGTGCATGTTGTAGGATCACACTGGTCATTCAGTCATATATGTACATAAGGTAACAATGTCTGTTTCATTCTACTATCCTTCCTACCCCACATCTCTCCACCTCCCTTCACTCCCCTCTACCTAATCTAAAGTAACTCTGTTCTTCCCCACTCCCCTTCCCCATTGTGAATTAGCATCCGCATATCAGAGAAAACATTTGGCCTTTGGCTGTTTGGGATTGGCTTATTTTTTTTTTTTTTTTAGCATGATATCCTCTGACTCCATTCAAATGCCGTAATGTCATTCTTCTTTAAAGCTGAGTAATATTCCACTGAATATATATACRCAGTTTCTTTATCATTCATCTATTGAAGGACACCTAGGTTTGTTCCATAGTTTAGCTATTTTGAATTGAGCTGTTGTGAACTTTGATGTGGCTGCGTCAGTATAGTATGCTGATTTTAAGTTCTTTGGGTATAAACCGGAGAGTGGGATAGCTGGGTCCAATGGTGGTTCTATTCTGAGTTTTCTGAGGAATCTCCATTCTGCTTTCCATAGTGGTTGTATCAATTTGCAGTCCCACCAGAAATGTATGAGTGTACCTTTTTCCCTACGTCCTCGCCAGCGTTTACTGTTGCCTGTATTCTTGATGATTGCCATTCTGACAGGAGTGAGATGAAATCTTAGAGTAGTTTTGATTTGCATCTCTCTAATTGCTAGAGATGTTGAACACTTATTTCATATGTTTGTTAACCATTTGAAAAAGATGATACTGGCTTCTTGGTAGAGATGCACGAGTCTCCTTCATAGGCTGGAAGCGTCCAAGGGCATATTCTAAGTATTATAAAAGCCTTTGACTATCTCACAGCTGTCCCTTCGTGCCACTCTTGAGATGAGGACCCGGGCTGGCTCCTTGTCACCTTGACTTGAGATACTCCTGGAGGCTGTGGAAATGCTGGCTTTTCTCCTCTTTCTGTGTTCGTGGCACAGAGGACAGCGAGGTGTTTTTGGCAGGCTTGAAGTATTTAGAGGAGGCAAGTCTAGGTGGATTCCTACTGTGGGGCATCAGCCCCTCCTTTAGAGGGTGCATTTTAATTTAACCTCCTTTTTAGCACCTCCACAAAGTGAGTGCGCACTGCGACGGCAAGGTCACGTGCTCGGAAAGACCCCTGCTCCCGTAGATGGTACAGAGGCCTCTCACAACTGGCCCCTCTACAGGATTATTGTGCAGTGTCTGGAAAATAGCTTATTACTAAGAGAGATATTATTTGGAAAGGTAGCAGAAGAGCATTCTCTGGGCTCTTTATCAAGAATCTTAATTGTGAGATGTGACCTTGATATTGCTTGCTCTAAGTTTTTTCCGAGTTTGTGGTGATTCTCTAGATTGCAGTCTTGCAACTCAGAGTGTCAGCGCAGATTTGATGTTATTTTCTAGAGTCCTTTTGGTCTCATCAGAAGCCCTGTGGTTTCCCTTGAAGGCAGGGCCTTGTCTCTGTGAGCAGGGCTCTGCTGAGATACACAGCTTCTCCAGCAGGTGCAGACAGCACAGGGGGTGGGGTGCTTGGTTTAGCACACAGCTGTGGCCTCTATGGTTCTCAGGCTCTGGCTGGGAGCACACCTCTTCATCTCTGAGCTGATATTAAACAGTGCTCAGCAGAAAGCACAGCGTTGGGCACGGGTGGACTCTTGCTGGCACGCTGGCCCACTTGTATCAGGCTTTCTGTTTGTGAGTGCCTCATGCCAGGACCGTGCACACTCAGCCCCTCCTTTAGAGGGTGCTGTAGATTCATTTGGTCAGCAGGTAAGTGTGGCGTGCCTGTCCTGTTTTAGGTACTGAGACAACAGTGAGAAAGTAGAYGCACTGTCCTTGCAGAGCTGGGTGTGAATCAGGCACATTGCGTAGTCTAACCAGAGGGACAGAATAGCAAGCGCTGGCCAAGGAGTGAGGCAGCCTGAAGGGACAGTGCTGGCTTCCCGTTGCCAGAGGCTCAGGGAATGCAGATTATGAGGCTGTCTTATGTGCCAGTGTGCACCACACATGCTGCAAGCCCCCCCCCCCCCCCCCCCCCCCCCCCCGCAGCCCCCCCCCCGCCCCCTGCAGCTCCAGCACCTGCCCCGCCCCCTGCAGCTCCAGCACCTGCCCCGCCCCCTGCAGCTCCAGCACCCGCCCCGCCCCCTGCAGCTCCAGCACCTGCCACTTGGGCGGCTCCTGGTCGGCTTCTCCGCAGTTGGTG